TGACTCCGTGCGGATTTAACATCGAATTTGCATCGGGGAGAGTGATGACGTCATCGATGATCTACGCTCTCATACCGCAGGCCTACAAGAACCCTCTCGCCTTCACCCTCTTCCGCGGTATAGTCACTGGTACAAACTCGCGACAGAGCAACGAAGGTAACCACTCACATCTTCTTCGTTCATCTCATTCAGCCTACCCCTGTGGCTTGTATCAGATCTCCATTCCATCCCACTTCTCTGGAAAGGTAAAGTATGACCTTCGATGCATCTGACGAGAACAGGTGGTGGTGTTTCAAGAGATGTTTGAATATCTGTTGGAGAGGAAAATGGTTCCCATCGGGCTGTACAGATCCTCGGACGTGCACATCAGCAGACATCCATATGTCCTCACCAACCCACCCCCCAATCTTAGCTTATCCAAGACAGACCAGATTTTTGTTCTTGCTGAGAGGCAGCCCAACCTCTGAACCTATTTGCATAGATCATCCATATCTTTTGTACTTCGTGTCTCGTGTTGATGTATGTCACAATACAGTTGCCTTCCGATGAGGAGATTTAGCAAAAAAATCAGCTTATCCCTTTCATGCAAGAAATCTCTGATCAGATGATGTAAAAATCACAATTACTTCCGTATCGTACGATCATCACGTCCATCAGCTATGCAATTGATCTTGTCGCTTCAGTCACTGCAAACGCAGCTCCTCACATGTGCAAGCGTCATATAAAAAGAGGGTATTATAGCGGATTTATCTACAACTCAACACACACTTCCTCTTAGATAATCCGCTGCAACTTGGTTGGTAGTAGCCTTACCACAGTGGTTTGGATAACAGAGGAATGTGTGTGGGCTGGTCGAGTGTCCACCTGTGTGACCGAGATCTGTGGATATCGATAATACCCTCTTTTTATGATTGGAGGTACTACAACGAAATAAATCTGTCCCGTGCGCCGATTTTGTGTATGTCATCAGATCTGAGAGAAGAGGGTTGGTAAATGAGTTCTCTATTATCCCTCCTTCCGGGGAAGGAATTCAGTGTGTCTGGAGTGGTGGGTGGTGTTGTCAAAGATTGGTTCTCCCATTCGAGTGTAGCGAATTACATCAAGGTAAGCGTGACTATTTTGCAGCAATCTTATATGATACAGATGAGTCTATTGGTTGGTATTGCTGGTGAGGAAACCCTCATTATCGATGATGATCTTTCCAGGTGGAATGCTTGCCATAACACGAAAACAAATAGACCTTATGGTTCGAAGATTTGGATATAACTTTGTGGTCTCTGTCTCAATCGACAGTAGAGACGACAGCTATAACTGGATGTTGGAGTGGCTCAGCAGACATCCTTATTCTGAAACTGCCTCCAATCTGGGATTGAGTGGGTGTTTTCCACTGTAACATCTGCAATCCTTACACTGCACAGTGACGATCTACGACGCCGACCACGGGGAAGAGGAGGCAGATAATCCAAGACCGAAGGTGAGTCCTCTGTCGAGATCGAATCACATGAAGTGATGGAACATGATGAATCCAACCATTCCAGTTGATCATATCACCTTTCTTGGGCAATCACTTTCTGAGATATAAGAATCATTTCTTCTGGGTTCAGAGGGAGAGAGATCTGGCAGCGAACGACATCAGCAAAGGAGGTGACAACCTACAACGAATTTCATTCATCCTAAACAACTACAGGATTCTACGAACGCATCAACTTCACTTTGTTGGGCAGAAACAAGCAGGTGACAGACGAAACCACATCGTAAGTGAACCTCAACAGGTCATGCAAGACCTGATCTCCGATGCTCTGGACATGGCCTACAAGAAGGAAGAGGGTAAGCTCATCATCTTTGTCAACAAGGGAGGACAATGGAAGTGAGATCAAGTATGATTGAACCTCTCTCACTCCCATCAGACGATTCGGAATACCGAGAAAGCCTCGAAGTCTTTCCTCTGTCATCTTAGAGAGCCGGGTGAAGGACAGTGTGGTGGATGATGTAAGAGAGTTTCTAGAGAGTCGACAGTGGTACATTGACATGGGCATTCCCTTTCGAAGGGGTTACCTCTTGTATGGCTTCCCCGGAACGGGAAAGGTGCGTGTGTCTCGTCTGCCACCTGACGCTGAGTAGTCTTCTTTCATCACGGCCCTGGCGGGAGAGATGAAGATGAAGTTGTGCATCGTCAGTCTCAACGAGAAGGGCATGAACGACGAGCAATTACACAGATTACTCAACAGCGCTCCACCGTACGTATCTCTTTTTCTACCGTCTACGGTATTGAACGAAGGGACAGGTTCAGCTTCATCCTATTGGAGGACATTGATGCGGCGTTCAGAAAGAGAAATAAGAACGACACGATGGTGACCTTCGGTGGTCTCTTGAATGCACTGGATGGTGCAGGTGCGATGGAGGGGAAGATCGTATTCATGACCACGAATCGAGTGAGAATTCTATCATCGACATAACATTCTATCGATGTAGATTCATCATTCGATGGCACTGAGACAGACAGATCCATCTGTTGGACAGAGCTCTCATCCGACCTGGTAGAATTGACATGAGAGTGCCCTTCAATCTATCTACTTCAGAGCAGGTCACTCATCCACATCTCTCATCATCGTTCTCACTCCCCTCAGATCACAACTATGTTTCTCAAGTTCTTCCCCGATGCATCTGAAGAAGTGAGAGGGTGGTAGAGGATTCCACTGAGAGGTGCAGGTGGTCGCCACGTTCAACAGTAAGATCCCAGAGAACACAATCAGCATGGCTGAGTTACAAGCCTACCTCCAGAAGAGAAAGAAGTACATCATCAGGGCAATCGATGGTGGGTCCTCCGTATTCTATCCTCAATTGATGTTCGATAGAAAGTGCAGAATGGGTGGAGAAGAAGAAGAGAACCAGGGAAGCAGAGTTACAGGAGATCTCTACACCCTCCTCCATGGAAGTAGGCTTCCCTCTTCCATAATAAATAACGTATCGTCTGGTCCTTTTGTTGGGGTGTTGTAGAAAACGCAAAAGATTTCACTTTTTCTGTGATGGATGTACCGGATCGGCAGATCGCCAAGGAACATATATCATATGGACCTTGGCATCCATTTGCACACAATCCTACAGTCACCTCTTTAAAAAGGCAAGTGATTCTCTCTACATCACCCACTGCCCTCCTCATCAATTGTCTTGTATCCCGTCCCGCAGCAAAGGGAGATGATTCCATTCGTTTCGGAGTAATCGGCGAACCTGGGGATCTGTATGATCTGAAGAGATTGATTGAGGGTGATAGCCAACCATCGACGGTGATCGATAAGCGGGGAGCCGAGGACGATATGAAAGGTGAATCACTTGGATGAATCAAGTGCTGAATTATCCAGCGATGGAGTGGTCACCTGACGGTAAATTACTGATCACTGCGTATTCGAACCACATAGAAATAAGAAAGGTATATCCGGACGAACGTTCGACACTCAATATTGCAGGGTAATGAACCAAACGAATCCATGAAGCAGTTCAACCTCCGTTACACACCAAAGGATGTTGCTCTGACTCTCATTCCAAACTACGTATGCATTCCATCGTTCCTTCTATCTGATCGTTACAGGCTTACATCCTGGCGATCGCCGGTCCCAATGGTGTGGAGATGTACAGTCTCCCTGCAGGGGTAGAGGAACTGACTCAGATGAACTTCCATAAAATAGCTCTCCTGCACGAGTCTTCCAGTATTACCAGAGTTTCCTTCTCTGCAGATGGTTCTCTCTTGGCTGTCGTGAGACTTCTGTTGATGATGACAGTGACGCATTACTAACACGTGATCAGGCTGCATTAGATGGACACATCAGTGTGTGGAAGACTGAAGTCGCCATTGACGAGAGAATCAGTCAACGTGAGTCCATCGTGTCGAATAAGCATTGATGCTGAGCAGAGTTCTGGTTTGAATACATTGAAACGGGACGAATCACAGAGATATCCTTCTCCTCCGATGGTCAAATGTTGGCAGTGGGAATGTGGAACGACACCATCAAACGATTCCACAGGGTGATCTTATTCCGTAAAGAGATCAGTTGAAACCACACAGACATCGAAGGGCCAATGGGAGGCCTATCTACCCAGATACAGTTCATCCATCAACTCCATCACCTCTTTGAGAAGCACATCACCTCCCACTCTATGCTGCTGGTCCCCCAATTCTCACTTCCTCATGTGAGGAACACATCGGTGTTGATTCTAATGCAGAGACAGAAACACGGTCAGTGGGAATACGGACGTGATGGCCACCGAGGCTCGTACAGGCAGGGTACTCTCTGTCTATCGATTCGACGCACCCGTGAAGGGCATGACCGTATGGTGAGTCATCCGATCGTCTCGTGATGAACGAAGACAGTGATGGAGTGCTGATGGTATACGACCGCAATTGTAAACTGTACTACGAATGCTTACCCAATGCATGTGTGGGACAGTTGACGGGTGAGCAACACACATGGGATCCATCTCACAGAAGCAGATCCAGTGCTGTTGTATTCCAGAAAGGGTACCTCTTTGAGGCTGAATCGGACGGGCGAATCCATGCAGATCAGACGCACAGATGACGTGAGATGGAAGACGGTATGACGATGAACCTCTGCAGTTACAAGAGCTGCACGATGTCACGTTCTTGAAAAGACTGTCCTGCAAGGTGATCAGACATCCCACGTTGAGAGAGTTGAATTGGGAGCCTGCCGTAGACGTGTGCGGAGGGCAAGCGTGCATCTGTGAAGAAAATGTGCTCTACTCTGCCGATGCTCGGGGAAACTGGCTCACTTTCATCACGAAGAGAGACATCACTTTCGTTCTCTGCCTCTCAGGTCATACGATATCAACGTTCGTTCTGACTCATTCTCAGACGTTGTAGTGGCCGTGGTTCTATCCAATGGATCTCTCCTTATCGCTCAGACAGTGCCTCCCAAAAAATTGTTCGAGTCTGAGAGTCGATCAGTGGTGTATGATTCCAATTCGAATTGAGAGAAAACTCATGTGAAGCCTCCCTGGCGCAATGGAAGCGCATTCGGCTTCGAACCGAAAGGTTGTGGGTTCAAGCCCCACGGGTGGCGTAGCAATTTTTTACACTGTAAACGAGAGATAAACGTACTGAAGTGAAGATTCAAACCATAACAATGCACTCAAGGCTGTGGTTTAGTCAGCGTTTGTTTGGGTACCTTTCAACGACGTGAAATCTTTAAATTGTGAGGGTTAGAATTTTGTAAAAATGAACGCAGCTGTGTCTCCAAAGGAGGTTTTTACCGTGGTCTGCTCTTAGTTCGCACAGATTTTACTCACGATTGATACTATTTTTTATGGAGAGAAAGAATAGTTCGCAATATCGTGACAAGTCTTTTGATCCACAACAAAGGGATAACCATTTTATCAGGAATAAGAAAGTTGAAGATGTTCGATCCAGCTGACTAACTGACTGATCCCCACTGGTCTCCTCTCCAACAGACCTTCGATCAATTTATGCGTCTGTGCAATGACCGTAGGAAAGTTCTACATCCCGTTAAACTCCACCGAAGATTCGTCTCACCATGTAAGTAGCGCGCATGTGAACCCACAGACGGTCGAATAGAAGGAAGACTTGGCAGTAGATCTCATCGAAGGTATCATCGTTGTTAGAATAGTAGAAGATGCTCAGACGGGACGTGTGCCACGCCGACATGTTACTGTGCAGTCCCACGAGATCTGATGATCTGCATCAGGTGACTATTCGAAGAGAACATCTCACCCGCATCGAGACGCAGGATGTTTAGAACCATGTTGGTGATGTTGATGCCTGAAGCCGCCCATGGATAATCTCTCCCTGCATCCAATATCTTCTTCACTTTAACCGCATAGTGCTCCGCAAAATAAAGCAGATTCAACAGTCCCAACAACCCCATACCCCCTGTAGAGGTCAGTCGAATGGTGCGTAATTCGGAATCTCACGGAAATCTGTGGTGGGATTGTTACCCTGGAAGCCCAGAGTCTTCCACTGCGGAGAATTGATCTCCATCTTCCCAGATAGGCCCATGATGGTCCACAGTCGAGCAAGTAGGGACAGGTGGCCTGGATCCTCCGGATCAAATTGTGTCGTTCTGCACTTCCAGATATCTTTCAAGAGGTGAATCTGCTTCACGCTTGATAGATTGAAGTTTTTCAGATGTGCTCCGACAACTTCCACCAATTCGAACATCTGAGAGTCTCAGATGTCACATTGAATGTCAATGTGGAGTTTCTTCACCTCTTCTGGAATAGCTGTGATGAAACTCGACTTCTGGCCGTTCTTCCAGGTGATGCAACATCCTCCTTTCGTCTGATAATCAAGATGAATCTCTCGTCGCCATGTTACGTATCGATCGATGTCTCACCGTGTTGTATTGAGGAGTGACAATGTTCTCCATCGAGACCTTGGCTACATCTTCGATGTGGTGTAATTGTTTCGCCGATCTGATCTCATACGTGGTCATCCTGCTCCCTTCCACCACACTCACACTATTCGATGTCAATTAGGATTGATTGTATTCTCGTTCTCACTTGAAATAAGTATAGATGGACCTATCGTGAGTCAGTCTCCCGTTTTCGATAGAAACGAGGGCTCACATGTCTTCAGGGACTAAATCTTGCATGTCTGCCGTCCTCTTGATGGCACAGAACATAATTTGCCCTTCCGAGTTGATTCGAAACAACTTATCCTCCCCCTTGTGAATGATGAGAAACTCGTCTCCCCTCAATCTCAGCCCGTTCAACAGTTGTTTCAACTGGAGAGGTCAGTCAATAGATCACCCGACGCGCTCACCTTTGTTATGGCTTGATTGTACGCGATGTACGTTTGATTGTCTTCGGAGGACAAGGAGATGGAAGACCTGGCATCCAGACTGTGAGTGGTGAGGTCTCCGTCGAACTCTTGGATGCGAGCCTCGTACGTCTCGATCATCGCTTTGATCGTCTCTTTCAAAGGGCCGATGTTGCTCTCGTTGTTGGATGTCATCGTCTCGTTGTATTGTCTCTCGACTCCTTCTACCGTGAAGACCTGAGGAGGTTAAATGGAATCGCATGACGATGCGGTGACACCTGCTCGCTGGATATCTCGTATGATACTGGAGGTTGATCACTTTCTTTCGTCATGGAAGGTGAATTTCTGTCAACGAGATCAATACATGGACACAGTGCATCATGTTACAGATGAGATGAGATTTGATGAAGATCTCACCCCAATAGAGTAGAAGGACTGCGACTTCTGGGTTTCTGCACGAAAGACTTTCGTCTCTTTCTGTGGAAGGGTTGACACTGAGATAATTCGGGCGAGCGATCCACTAATTCCTGTGGAGATTTGAATATAAAGCGTATCGTTCAGGCTACCTGAATCGAAGCGTAGAGCCGTGCAGAGTTCTCGAGTTGAAAATAAATACCTGTAGATTTAGACGATGAAGAATGAGATGTGGACCCACCACCATAATTGACGGAGAAGATGGGAATGTGATTGACCGGAGACGGAGGTGTCCGTATGGACACAAAGTATTCGCCCTGTGGTCCATCCATCAGAACATGTTGTCGATCGCAGAGATGGAGGGACCACTCACTTTCCCTACGGTTCGCACGAGAAATGTGTCTTCATTGCAATCTGCCAATATCGTCTCTGCCGATCTCTTATCTGTATCTGTAAAGTACCATTCTTGCGTCTCGAGGTCCTCGAGGTTCTCCTTGCTCATCATGTTGTTCTGGATTTGTGTCGAAGAGGTCACCTGAAGGTACAGGGTGAGATGTTGTCGAATCGATCCATCTTTTTGAGATTGGAATGGGTTCAGTGGAAACTCACAACTGAATTAGTTTGTGATTCTTTCGATGGTCTTTGCCACGCCTATCAGCTGTCTCGTGAGTAGCTGATGGATTTGGATGATGAGAATTACGCACCGTATCCTGACCTCCTCTCGGGTGTACCGATTCAACTGCAGGGTGAGGTTCTATCGCAGTTCTCTGCTGCGATTGTCTGGACATGCAGATGATGTGTCAACAAAATGGCCACCTTCAATTACACCTCGGTAATTATTTTCACAGAATATAGATTACCCGGAGTTCGTGGTCGAGGACAACCATCATCTCTTTTGCACTATGTTGGAGTCTCAGTGTGTACCATTCTTTCATCAGACAGTAATTCAGTTTCAGAAAACTATAACAATGGATTATGTACATCATGATCCAAGTCGCTCTCAGTTTATCGCAGGATATGCCTTCTGGATGTGTGAAGATTACTAATTGCGTCAATCTCTTCGTCCAGCTGAGCAATGATCCTATTGTCTCTTGTGTACATTCCCGTGCTGATCAAATCCTCTCTCTCTTGCAGCAGTCGATCCAACTTGATCTGATCCACCGGTGATATAGAATTCTGTCTCGGCTCGTGCAACACCGACCGTTGACTGTTCGTAAAGTCCCCGAACTCCTCCTGTTCACGATTAACATTCGACATCACGAGTGACACTGTCACCTTCATCCTTAATGTCTTCAATTCCATTTTCAAATTCTCTAATGTTTGAATATCTCCACGATCTGATCGAACCGGTTCAAAGTCTTTGGTGAGAAATTTTGTCCTTAAAGTTTCGATCTGATGACGTTCAGAACATGATGAACACCGCACGGCCTCACCTCCTTCTCTTGACGTCGCGCTCTCTCTTGCTTCTCCACAGCTACATCATCCATGATCTTCTCGATGTCCTTCTTCATTCGAGCTATCGTCATCTTGTGTTCTTTCCTCTTCCTCTCTGATCTGACAAAGGTGAACTCCAATCGTCGTCACAGCGTCTACCTCTCCAATTGTCTCTCCAGCTCGCTCCGAACAGCGATGAGATTCAGCACTTCGGCCTGCAATTTTGCTTCACTGACCCCTCCCTGCCTCTGTCTGTAATCCGAAAAGTCGCGGTCTAATTCTCGGTACCGCTCCTCCCACTCTCTCGCTCTCCCCTCTGCGGCCTTGACGTATCTCTCCAGGTCTTGACTCTTGTATAGCTCCAGATCTTTGAGATGCGCTATCTCTTCCTTAGCCCTTCGGTACGTGTCTTCCACCTGCTTGATCTTCGTCTCATATTCTAATTGCATGGCTGTGTGAACCCGCTTCGCTTCGTGTTCTGCGGTGACGATCTGTTGAAATCATCATCTGAATCTTTATGGAATGATCACCTTTCTCTCTCTCACTTCCATGGAGGCGAGCATAGATTTTAATCTGTTTTCCAAGGTCATGCATTCCTGATGCTTGGCAGCGATCATCTCCTCTTCTTCATCTAATCTCTTCTTCTGTACACTGAATTCTCTATACAAATCCTCCTCTCTTCTTCGGAATTTTTCTTCGAGCGCCACTTGAACATTCTTCTTGACTTTTGTTTTCATCTCAACTTTCTTCGCTGTATGGCTTCAATTACCATACCCACCATATGTCGACGTTCACCTGGCTTGGTTTTTTCTTTTTGAGCTGCTGGTATTCCGTTCACAGGTTGAGATAGAACCGCTTGAACAGTCGGGGCTATCGCTTGTACTGGAGGTCTGGACACCTGTACAAAGTTACTCATACTGAAGATGTCGTGGTCTCCTCACATCACCAAAATCTTCTAAAGATTGCACGACCTGAAATATACCGATTCTCATCGAATCATCTTGCATAGATAAGACCGGAAGGTAAGTGTCCAAAGTCCTTAACGTTCTGCCTTCTATAGGTCTGAATAAATTCATCAGACGGACACCTGCTTCATGATTCATCACCTCTTTGGCGCGTTGTACAGTTGATTGAGATCGATCGTCATAAAACCGATCCTCGTGTCTTGCGCATATTTACCTTTGCTCATCACATCCACCGTGAGAGGTGTGGCCCGAAGAACAGATTCCAGATAAGTTCGTGGCGCCGTGATCTCGAATTTTTGGAAGGGATCGGGTATGGGATAAGCCACGAATTTATCCCTTAACTGATCGAGAGTTATTCACTGCTCATACCACTCCCTCACTTCATTCGTGATAGAGGTACTTGCGCTCATGTCTTGTGACCATTCCAAGTCCGCTGGATCAGGATGGATTGTGATCGGACATGTGTAAGCTG